CTGAGGAATCGAACCCAGGGCTTCATGCACGCTAGGCAAGCACTCTACCACTAAGCCACATTCCCAGCCCTCATATATACTAAATTCTTAAATGTAATATCTCAGATAAAATCCTCTAGCCAATCAAAATACAGTATGTTTCTTGGCTGGATTAACATAGTGGCCTTTTTTTTTTTTCTGGTCGGTCGTGGAGCTTGAACTCTGGGCTTGGGTGCTGTCCCTGTGCTCTTCAGCTCAAGGCGAGCGCTCTACCTCTTGAGCCACAGCACCACTTCCAGTTCTCTAGTGGTTTATTGGAGATAAGAGTCTCACGGACTTTCCTGCCTGGGCTGGCTTTGAACTGTGATCCTCAGATCTCAGCCTCCTGAGTATCTAGTATTACAGGCTTGAGCCACCAGTGCCCAGCTAATTAGGAATTTTATAGTTAAAATAAGACAAAGTCTAACTTGGTTACTACTGAAATAAAGACGTAGTATTTGTTACTCATATCTTTTCAGAAAAAAATCTAAGAAAATACTTACTTTAATGTGAGGAAAATATACAAAGGTAACAGGGTGTTTCATACACCTGGTATAAACCCTAGGAAAACCTAGTGGAAGGCACAGTTGTGAATACCTTATCTCCTAAAAATCCAATGGCCTGTAGGCTTATTGGTCCTGGACTCCCTCTAGTGGCTCATGCTTTTGGTGCTGTAATTGATGCTTTTCAATACACAGAATTATCATTTGGCCATCTTAACAGCAAGGCAGTAAAAAACACCTACACAACTATTAGAATGATTTTCTTTTTCTTTTTCTTGATCATGGGGCTTGAACTCTGGTCTTGGGCACTGTCTCTCAGCTCTTCAGCTCAAGGCTAGTGCTCTACCACTTGAGCTACAGTGCCACTTCCGGCTTTTTTCTTTTTGCTTATGTGGTGGCTAGGATTACAAGTGTGAGCCACCTTCGCCAGGCACCATAAATTTGAAAAGAAAATCATTTTAAGCCGGCGCTGGTGGCTCATGCTTGTAATCCTAGTTACTCAGGAGGCTGAGATCTGAGCATTGCGGTTCAAAGCCAGCCCCGGCAGGAAAGTCCATGAGACTCCTATCTCCAGTAAAACACCAGAAATCCGGAAGTGGTGCTGTGGCTCAGTGGTAGAGTGCTTGTCTTGAGCTGAAGAGCTGAGGGACAGCACCCAGGCCCAGAGTTCAAGCCCCATGACTGATTAAATAAATAAATAAATAATATGTCAAGCTGGGTGTAAGTGGCTCACACCTATAATCCTAGCTACTCAGGAGGCTGAGATCTGAGGATCGTGGTTCAAAGCCAGCCTGGGCAGGAAAATCTGTGATACTCTATCTCCAATAAACCACTCAGAAAACTGGAAGTGGCGCTGTGGCTCAACTGGTAGTGCACTAGCCTTGAGCTGAAGAGCTGAGGGAAAGCACCCAAGCCCAGAATTCAAGCCCCAGGACTGAAAAAAATATTATGTCATTGATTGTTAAGATAAATATGAATTTATATATAATTGCAATAATAGTGTTAGTAATGGTCTGACTCAAAAAAAAACAGAATATATTTTACTGACAGGATGATAGATATAGTTCTACTGAGAGTGAATGGATAAGAATTGAAGTCTCAGAAACAGGTTCCTTTGTTGATTCTGTTTGCAACCTAAGGTGAGGATTGGGCATTTTAGGGAGTGAGTGTAGTGACTATTCCTGGCTGTGGGTCCTACTTTAATTTGACTATAAAACCAACCTCAGGGGGCTGGGAAAGTGGCTCAGTGGTAGAGCGCTTGCCTTGCATGCCTGAGGTCCTGGGTTCGATTCCTCAGCACCACATAAGCAAAAAGAAAAAAGCCGGAAGTGGCACTGTGGTTCAAGTGGTAGAGTGCTAGCCTTGAGCTGAAGAGCTGAGGGACAGCACCCAGGCCCAGAGTTCAGGCCCCACGACCGGACCCCCCCCCCCCCCCAAAAAAAAATAAAACCAACCTCAGACCAACCCCAAACAACATATAGTTTCCTTCATATTATATTCTTAACATCATAACCTCTACCTCAATTTTAAAGCAATGCAGAAAACTATAGCATTTTTTTTATCATTGATTTCTTTTTTTCTTTTTTTTTCCAGTTGTGGGGCTTGAACTCTGGGCCTGGGCACTGTCCCTGAGCTCTTCAGCTCTAGTGCTCTACCACTTGAGCCACAGCACCACTTTCTGGCTTTTTCTGTTTATGTGGTGCTGAGGAATCGAACCCAAGGCCTCATGCATGCAAGTCAAGCACTCTACCACTGAACCACCTTGCCAGCCCCTCTGCATATTACCTTTATAATAACAATAACAAACTTAGCTGGTTGCCCGTGGCTCACGCCTATAATCCTAGCACTCAGAAGGCTGAGATCTGAGGATTATGGTTCAAAGCCAGCCCAGACCTTCTCAGCCCCTATCATTGATTTCTTTCTGCTTACTTCCCTATGTTGACATTGGTTATGTCCATTGGTTGTACCTTCCTCATGACTATGCTCAAAACAAGAAGTGGAAAAAAAAATCTTAAATTCACCACATTAAACTTCCATTTCCTGGCCAGTCTGTACTATTGATGTACACAAATATATTAACTCTTTTACATGACAACCCTTTTTATTTAATACATTTATTGTCTTTTTTCTAGATCTGCAAAAGTTTTTTGTAGCTGGAATAAAAGAAACTTCATGAGCTATAGGCAATATGATACAATAACTTCACAGGAATGCTATTTATACACTTTAGGGATCAGTTTGTTAGTTTTGTCAGTCATGGAGCTTGAACTCTGGGCCTGGGTGCTGTCCTTGAGCTTTTTTTACTCAGGACCTAGAGCTCTACCATTTTGAGCCACAGTGCCACTACCAGTTTTCTAGTGGTTAATTGGAGATAAGAGTCTCATGGACTTTCCTTCCAGGGCTGGCTTTGAAGCTGTGATCCTTACATCTCAGCTTCTTGAGGAGCTAGGATTACCAGTGCATGCCATCTTATTTCACAAAATGTTATTGAAAAAGTCTGAAGACCAGAGGGAAAGAAGCTAAAAAATAGTAAGAGAAAGAAGAAACTAAGAACATGTAATTTGCCTACTTTAGGACTTCATGCTATGTGCATTATTTTGTGGAGCCCTTTAGTTTTTTCAGCTCTAGAGATGGGAAAGTACAGCAGAGATCAGATAAGTTACTGTGGAGTCTAAAAACCTGTCATAGTGTCTGCCATTAACTTCAGATAGAATGAGGCCAGGAATTGGCATTGGTCTTAGGGTTTGTAATCACATAACACTTTCTCTTCATAAGATATTGCTATAATGTGGAATAATTGGCATAACAACAGCCTCCCAGCACCATAGGCACAATTCAGAATATCCATTTTGTTATCTCATAAATTTGAATTGCTGTGAAGGCTGGAAAAATAAAGATAGGAGGGGGCTAGGAAGGTGGCTCAGTGGTAGAGCGCTTGCCTTGCATGCCTGAGGCCCTGGGTTCGATTCCTCAGCACCACATAAGCAAAAAGAAAAAAGCCAGAAGTGGAGCGCTAGCCTTGAGCTGAAGAGCTGAGGGACAGTGCCCAGGCCTAGAGTTCAGGCCTCACGACCGGACCCCCCCCCAAAAAAAAAAACAAAAAAACAAAAAACAAAGATAGGAGGATGCAAATAGAATTTTTTAAAAAAAGCATATTTTCTTGCCTTTGAATATCTGTAGTTTTGCTTTGTTTTGCCAGTCCTGGGGCTTGAATTCAGGGCCTAGGCTCTGTCCCTGAGCTTCTCTGTGCTCAAGGCTAGCACTCTACACTGGAGACACAGCGCTGCTTCCAGCTTTTTCTGTTTCTGTGGTACTGAGGAATGGAACCCAGGGCTTCCTGCATGCTAGGCAAGCACTCTACCACTAAGCCCCCTGTAGTTTTTTTTAAAATGAGAATTAAAAGAGATAGGAGCCCAGGAGCAGGTGGCTCCGGTGGCTCATACCTGTAATCCTAGCTGCTCAGAAGGCTGACATCTGAGGATCGCGGTTCAAAGCCAACCAGGGCAGACTCCTATCTGGGACAGCATCCAGACCGAGTGCAAGCCCCAGGACTGGGGCGGGGGCGGGGGGGGGGGGAGGGAGAGGGGGTAGAAAGAGAGAGAGAGAGGGAGGGAGAGGAGGGGGGGAAGAGAGAGGGAGGGAGGGAATTTTCCGATATAAAGAGGAGTTACTTGTGAGAAGGGGAGAGCAAGGCAGAAAGCAGGGGGACAAGTAATAGGCAGTTAGTGATCTGCCCAAATACAGTCTAGGACTTACGCTTCTGTGCACTAAATAGCCAGTAAGCATGTATTGCAAGAACAAAAGAGGTCAGTGATAAACTTTCAAAGGAGTAAATACGGGATCAGAACAATTTATCGGTGTGCTACGATTATATCAGATAGCTTAGTTTTCCTTCTCCCCCGCCCCTGCAAAGATTTTGCTTAAAAATCTGATATCTTTATAGTATTTTGCATAACTCACAAGACAGTCTGCAAAGGACTTTAAATATCATCGAGCTCCTCTTCTGCTATGCTGGTGCTTTTTTGGTAGAAAGTCATGTCTGGACCTCCCCAACAGGTTGGAACCCCAGTTGTAGCAGACGGAGCACAACTGTTCAAGTCACCGAAGACATGAACACTATAGCACTGAAAATGCGGCTGGGAAGAGTATGCAGTGGCGGTGACTCCCATCGTAAGTGTGACCACCAAAGGTACATACTTAATGCACTAGTAAAGTGAGCTTACGCTGCGCCCCAGACACCTGTGAACATAAATAATCAACACAAAACTCTCAGAAAGGGGAAAACTCCCGCGGGGCGAATCAACACTCCACCAGAGGGCGGGGCTTGTCGCATCGCTTTCCTATTGGTCCTCTCGGCCTTCCCTCAGCTGCTGGCAACCAATCGTCTCCGACGCACGCGCGTCATCGGCTTCCGGCGTGGAAGCGCGCTGTCCGGTTGGTGGAACGCTTGTTTCCCGGGGCCTGTTTCTCCCTCGTGTGATGGCACCGGACTCGGGCCTCGCACCCGAAGCGCCCCTCTTAACGCTGTTACCGGTAGATGCGAGGGACCGGGGCACCCAGCGCTGCCGCCTGGGCCCGGCCGCCCTCCGCACCTTGGGCGCGCACCTGGGCTCAGCGGTGAGGATCTCGCTGCCGGATGGCGGCTCCTGCCTCTGCACGGCCTGGCCGCGACCGAATGGGGCGGACGGCTTCGTGCAGTTCGACCCGCAGTGCGCGAGTCCCGGGGCGGCGGTGGAGACGCTGGGGTCTCGGAGGAGCCTCAGCCTCAGCAGCCTCCACCCGGTGCCCTGTCCCCCGCCTCCGGCGCCTGGTCGTGTGGCCGGTGTTTCGCGAAGGGGCGGGCGCGCCGGCGACCCCGAGTCCGGCCGTGGCGCTGGAGGCCGCGCAGGAGCTGCTGAGGAACCGGCCTGTCGCCCGGGGACACGTTCTGGCCGCTCCTCCCGGCGCCCCAGGCCCCGTGGCGGCCCTGCACATCGTCGGCGGGACGCCCGATCCGCATCTGGCCGGGCTGGTCACCCCTAAAACTTGCATCGTCCTCAGCCGGGATCCTCCGTCGCAAGCTGAGCGCCCACCCGAGGTGTCCCTGGGCGGCCTTTCCGAGGTGGCCGACTCGCTGCGTGAGCTGCTCTGCCTTCCACTGCGCTACCCCCGCGCCCTGGCAGCGCTGGGTCTAGCGGTACCCCGTGGGGTGCTCCTGGTGGGACCCGCCGGAGTGGGAAAGACCCAGCTGGTGGGATCGGTGGCCCGGGAGGTGGGTGCCCAGATGCTGGCAGTGAGCGCCCCCGCGCTGCAGGGCTCCCGGCCTGGGGAGACCGAGGAGAACGTGCGGCGGGTCTTCCAGCGTGCTCAGAAGCTGGCCAGCCGCGGGCCCAGCCTCCTCTTCCTGGACGAGGTGGACGCCTTGTGTCCTCGGCGAGGAGGCCCTCACCAAGCCCCCGAGAGCCGCGTGGTGGCCCAAGTGCTGACCCTGTTGGACGGCATCAGCGGGGACCGCGAGGTGGTCGTTGTGGGAGCCACCAACAGGCCAGACGCGTTAGACCCTGCGCTGCGCAGGCCCGGGAGATTCGACCTAGAGGTGAATAATCCCTCGTCCCTGGAACCTCTCATCTTCTGGCTTTAGCTAGTCCCCAAGGGCCTTTGCTAAAAAAGATTTGTGGGTCACTGAGGCTGTATTAGGGCCCTTTGTACTGATTGCATCTAAGGTCTGAGAAGCAGGGTGGCTGGATGAGGTTAATTTGGTTAGGCAGGTCCTGAAAATCATTTCTGTGGTCTTGGTAATGTTGATTCTTACAGCAACTAGGTATCTACCAAGTGTATTAATTAATTTTAACATTCAGAGCCACCCTATCTTACAAACTTTGATCTTAAATTGATCGTTGACATTTAAAAAATAGAAAGTTTAATGATTAAGTGATGAGTTTTTTGTGACAAGCCAGGACCTTCATATTCTTCCTGACTACTGGATTAGGGTAGGTTCTCAAAAATAACAGACTTTTAAAGTGGCATATGTGATTTTCATTGTGCAACTTTCCAGCCTCTTGGTCCACTGGAAAATTGGAATGCTCATATATTCAGAATCTAAGATATGCTTAAAAATGCATGTTAACTGGGCATTGGTGGCTCAATTCTGTAATACCTAGCTGCTCAGGAGGCTGAGATCTGAGGATTGTAGTTTGAAGCCAGCCTGGAAAGTCCATGAGACTTTTATCTCCTCGTTACCACCAAAAAGCAAGAAATGGCGCTGTGGCTCAAGTGTTAGAGCACTAGCTGCTAACCTTGAGCGAAAATGCTTAGGGAGAGCAAGCACCCAAACCCCTGAGTTCAAGCCCTGGGACCGACACACATACATGCATGTGCATCTGTTAGTTCCAAAACAGATCACTACATTTTCTTAGACGTGAGTATAGAAAATTTAAATTGTAAATCTTAATTTTCCTGTTTTCTCCTTTGCTTTAGGTTGTCATTGGGACTCCTACGCTTAAACAAAGAAAGGACATTCTGCAAGTGATCATCTCAAAGATGGCTGTCTCCAGTCACATAGATTTGGGTCTCCTAGCAGAAATGACTGTGGGCTATGTTGGGGCTGACTTGCGGGCACTCTGTAGTGAGGCAGCCATGCATGCGCTCTTTCATAGCGAGAAGGTAAGAACTGGTCTGTGACCAGCTGTTTATCTTTTTATGAATGTCAAAGCAATCTGGAGGTTGAATGTTTACCTTTTTTTTTTCCTGGAATGGTTTATAGCTTCCCTAGCTGTTTCTTAAGGTCATTTTTTATATCTCAACTACTCTAGCACCAGTACTCAGTCTCTCTTTTTAAGATTTCAGATTGGCTATTCTATAGGCCATTTCTCAGTTTGATTTGACTGATATTTTAGAGATATGATCTTAGAAATAGTGATTTACAACACTGTTGACTGGGAAGTTACTTGGTATATGATCTTTAATCCCTGAGTTCCTTCAGAAAGAAATCATTTCAGCAGGCTGATGATGTTATGGCAAAATTTTCACTCTCTGGTTGAAACATCAAGATTGTCTTTTGAGGGCTGGGAAGGTGGCTCAGTGGTAGAGCGCTTGCCTTGCATGCATGAGGCCCTGGGTTCGATTCCTCAGCATCACATAAGCAAAAAGAAAAAAGCCGGAAGTGGTGCTGTGGCTCAAGTGGTAGAGCGCTAGCCTTGAGTTGAAGAGCTGAGGGACAGCGCCCAGGCCCAAAGTTCAGGCCCCACGACCAGACCTAAAAAAAAAAAAAGATTGTCTTTTGATTTTAGCTACAAAACAATGCTATATCATCTTGTTCCTTTTTCCTTGTTTTTCATTCTGAAGATGGAGAAAAGACATGTGAACCTCTAAGACCTTATAGGTTTAGAATCAGAACTACTTGATGACAGAGGTATGAGAATGCTTGCCTTTTGAGGGAGAGAATGAGAAAAAGAAGAGGTGGGAAAGGAGAGTCCCTCTGCTTTGAAATTCCAGGCTTGACCTACAGGGCTTCTGGCTTAGATGTGCCAGTCAGCTGCTGTCCTCCTAGAGTGGGTCCTACTGCCGATGTAGAGAGCTTAACCTAGCATGGTTTCCACAGGTGACAGATGAGTTCAGAAACAAGGTGAGTGGAACAATGACAGGCAAAAAAAAAAAAAAAAGGAAGAGACAGAAACATCTGGGAAGACACTGACTTTTCCTTTCTGCAACTAGGCAGCTGAGGGGCAGCTTCTGTTTTTCTCTGTACCAGAACAGATAAGGGATCCATTAAAGTTGATTAAAGTTTTTCTAAAGTGTGTGATTAAAGGATTAGAAGGATTAGAAGTGTGATTTTATATATCAGAGGATAAGAATTTATATGCCTGAAAGGGTTGTGGAAATCAAATGAAATAACAGTAATCTGAACTATAAATGAGATTTTCAAATGTTAGTTGCTATTGCCTAAAAATTAATTAGTAATTAATTACTCAGCATCTAATACTAAAAACCAGGAAAGATGCATAGTTATATGTTGTATAACAATGTATTATTCAACAGTAGGCCAAATGTACAAGATAAATACCATATACCTTACCTGTGCAGTTAGCTATACCATCTAAGTTTGTCTAAGTGCCATTTTGTGTGTGTGTATATGTCAGTTGTGGGGCTTGAACTTAGGGCCTAGGCACTGTCCGGAGCTCTTTTGCTCAAGGCTAGTGCTCTACCACTTTTAGCCACAGTTCTACTTCCAGTTTTTGAGAGTTAACTGGAAATAAAGAGTTTCACAGGGCGTTTGCTGCACGGGCTGGCTTCGAACTGCAGTCCTCAGATCTCAGCCTCCTGAGTATATAGGATTACAGGTGTGAGCCACTCAGCTACCTGGGCTTGAACTCGGGTCTGGATGCTTGTTCTCCCTGAGCATTTTTGCTCAAGGTTAGCAGCTAGCGCTCTATTTCTGGCTTTTTGGTGGTAATTGGGAGATGAAAGTCTCATGGACTTTTCTGTCCAGGCTGGCTTCAAACATTTTTAAGGGCCCACCCCCAGATATTGCTGCTCCTATCTACAGAATACAGTAGCTATGATCATAATCCAGGCTGGCCTGGATCCTAATCTTTACCTCTGGAGTAGCTAGGATTATAGGCCTGAACCACCATGACCAGTCAGGAGGGGTTTTATTGTTGTTTATGTGTGTGCATGCCAGTCCTGGGATTTCTACTTAGGGCCTAAACAATGTCTCTGAACTTTTTTGATCAAGGGTAGCATTCTTATCACTTGAGCCACAGCTCTATTCTGGCTTTTTGGAAGGTTAAGATAAGAGTACCATAGACTTTTCCTGTCAATGCTGGCTTCAAACCATGATTCTCAAATCTCAGCCTCCTGAGTAGCGAGGATTATGGGTAGGAGCCACTGGCACCCAGCAGTTTTTTTTTTTTTTTAAACTAACAAAAAGAAAAGTGGTCAGGGAAAAAGAACTTCTAAGATCATTTTCCCAAAGTCTAAGATCATTTTCTAAGATCATATTTATAATACAGAGGAAAGATGATCTTTCTAAGCATAATGTAAAAATAGCTAGAAAGTATAAGATAGGCTAATTGTCATTTGTGTTGGTAAAACAATACTGTAAGCAAAAAAGCAAGACCAAGAAGAATGCTCTTAAGCCCCATTTCCTGAGAATGACCTACTATGTCTCAGAGGATAATCAATTTATAGTACTTTTATGCAGTAGTATATTGTGCACTTGTTGAGTGACAAGTATAATATTGACATAATAAAATTTCTAAGATAAGTGAAAAAAATTAACATGACTGTATATACTAAGCTTCATTTTGCTTATCTGTTTGAAAGGATATGTGTGTGCTTATTGTCATGAAGGTACTAGAAAAGATGCACAAGAAACTGTTGACATCCTCTGAGGATGGGTGCTGGTGGGAACTGATGGGAAGATGTACAGTTTTTGTGCTTTCGTTATGTGTTTATACACATAGCCTTAGCTATGTGTATAAATTTTTTTATGATGATAACCAAATGGATTTATAAGGATTTCAATTTAAAAAGGAATTGTGCTTTAGTACTACAAAAAAAGGCCTACCTAATTTTTTGTTTGATTGTGTTTTGATGGACGTATTTCTTCAGAACCAAGACCATCTTATGATTGATGAAGCAGATTTTCTTGAAGCTTTTAAAATGATTCAGCCTTCTTCATATCGAAGTGTCATTGGACTAACAGACATAAAGCCTGTTAGCTGGGAGCAGATTGGTGGCCTTGAAGATGTGAAATTGAAGTTAAAACAGGTAATAGTTAATTTTCTTAAACCAATGAAAATGTTACCGATTAATCGGTACAGTTATATAAAATGAAAATATACCACATGGAAACTGTTCTTGCTGTGGTCACTAATGTGATCTTTACATCTAAATTCAGTTTTCAGGCTATATTTAATTGGGAAATTATGTTTCATGATTTCTTCCCATCTTAACACTCTCTTTGTTTCTGTTTGAGAGGTTACATATCATTATTTGTGAGCCAGTGCCTTGGAGTTACATTGCTTAGAGACCAGTCTTAGTTCTGCCACTTGGCTAACAATAAGAGCTGGGCAAGTTAACTACTGCTAAGCTTTAATTTCTGCATCTAAAATTGTGGTAGTAGAACCATTTACCTGAGAAATATTCAAGATTCATGCGCTATTAAGTTAACATCTGTGAGTGTCTCTTTTGCAAAGTGCTGAGGTTTTAGAGATTAACTTTGCATTCTAGGAAGAACAGAACAGCAGAGTCAAATGGAACAGCAAATTGATAAGTGCATTAAAAGCAAAAGGTGGAAATACACTGAAAATGAAAGGTAGATATAACACAATAACCAGGAACAAAGATTTCACTTTGACTGGGGTGGTGAGGGAAGACCTCTCCAAGGAAGTGACATTTGGGTTGAGACGCACAGTGAAGAATGGCCCCAAGGATGCTGGGGGAATGTTCAGGAACAGAAAGTATAGCAAGTAGCCGGGCGCCAGTGGCTCACGCCTGGAATCCTAGCTACTCAGGAGGCTGCGATCTGAGGATCATGGTTCAAAGCCAGCCTGGGTAGCAAAGTCTGTGAGACTCTTATCCCCAATAAACCACTAGAAAACCAGAAGTGGCGCTGTGGCTCAGAGGTAGAGGGCTCGCCTTGAGCTGAAGAGCTGAGGGTTAGTGTCAAGCCCAGAATTCAAGCCCCATGACAGACAAAAAAAAAAGTATAGCTAGTAAAGGTCATGAGATGGAACCATACCAGGTATTTGGATGCTGGATTATGGAAAGCCTTGTGAGTAAGGAGTTTGACTTTATTCTAGTCCTGATAAGAAATCTTTGGAGGATTTAACCAGAAAGTGGTTCACCCTACCTTAGGTTCTAAAATCTCTGGCTGCTAGGTAAAGATTGGATTACATTTCAGCTCATAACAGGTGCCTGAGAATGGTCAAATGAACAAAAGAATCTACCCATTGATTTGGCATGTTATTGTTACACTGAAACAAGTCTTCTATCACTTTCTGTCTGCCTTTAGAGTGTCGAGTGGCCGCTGAAATTCCCTCAGGAATTTGTTAGGATGGGCCTGACACCGCCAAAGGGCATTCTCCTCTATGGTCCTCCTGGATGTGCTAAAACCACCTTGGTGAGGGCCTTGGCCACAAGCTGCCATTGCTCTTTTGTTTCCGTGAGTGGAGCTGATCTCTTTTCACCCTTTGTTGGAGAATCAGAAAGAGTTTTGTCTCAGGTTTGTGTATTTTCCCAAGTATTTAAGTTTACCTTTAACTTTATTTTGATAAACTTCTATTTATAAATATTTTACTAGTTTTGTCTAATTATACAAATGGCACAGGTTTGCTTATAAAAAATTTAGGAAATGTAGAAAAGTTTGAGATACTGCATAATCCCTCTACCTGTTAATCCCTCTACCTGTTAATCCCTCTACTTGTTAATCCCTCTACCTGTTTTGGTGAACTCACTTACTTTCTCCTTCCTCTGGCCTTCCCTCTCTCCCTTTCTTCCTTTTTAAAAATAAAGCTGTCCCTGAGCATTTTTTGCTCAAGGCTAGCACTCTACCACTTGAGGCACAGCTTCACTTCCAGCTTTTTGGTAGTTAATTTGGAGATACGAGTCTTACAGACTTTCCTGCCTGGGCTAGTTTCAAATTACACTCCTCAGATCCCGACTTCCTGAATAGCTAGGCTCAAGCCACTGGTACTCAGCCCTGCTTTTTTTTTTTTTAATTTAACATGAATGCTCTTAAATTTCATGTTAAATATTCTTTTAAAGTATTTTTTTTTTACTCCTACATATCTTTATTCCTTGTTTTACATACTCATTCACCAATTCTTAGGCAATTAGAATCTTTCTCTGTTTTAAAAATTATAAATAATGGGCTGGGAATGTGGCTCAGTGGTAGAGTGCTTGCCTTGCATGCCTGAGGCCCTGGGTTCAATTCCTCAGCACCACATAAGCAAAAAGAAAAAAGCTGGAAGTGGCGCTATGGCTCAAGTGGTAGAGCGCTAGCCTTGAGCTGAAGAGCTGAGGGACAGCATTCAGGCCCACAGTTCAGGCCCACAACCGGACCCCCCCCCCCCAAAAAAAAAAATAATAATTATATAGACAATATTGATTCACATGAATAATATTTAACAGTAGCTTATGATGTTGTTGTTGTTTTTCTTTTTCTAACAAAAGGTGTTTCGACAAGCAAGAGCAAATACTCCAGCCATTGTGTTTTTGGATGAGATTGACTCCATTTTGGGGTCTCGCTCAGTCAGCAATTCAGAATGTGATGTTCAAGATCGAGTGCTTTCTGTTCTTCTGAATGAATTAGATGGAGTGGGAATTAAGACAATAGAGAGAAGAGGAAGTAAATCAAATCAGCAGGGTAAATACCAGGAACTGGAAACCGTGAAGAGGTATTTACAGCCAGATACACCAGAAATTCAGGCCAGCATTACATAGGATCCCTATATATCTTGCCTTTCCTGTGCTGATTTCATCTTACACAGTGATTTATAGTATTTCAATGTAATTCTGTTGGGATTTTTATAGGGCCAGGAAAGGTAAAGTCAAATTATATAATAATCTTAGATCTGTGTAAATATGGGTTTTATTTTTCCTAGGATTAGGAATATAGTTTTACTGCTAATGGAGAAGTACATTTCTTTCTTTTTTTTTTTTTTTTTTGGTTGGTCATGGGGCTTGAACTCTGGGCCTGGGCACTGTCCCTGAGCTCTTCAGCTTAAGGCTAGCACTCTACCACTTGAGCCACAGCGCTACTTCTGGTTTTCTGTTGGTTTATTGGAGTTAAGAGTCTCACAGACTTTCTTGCCTACGCTGGCTTTGAACTGCTATCTTCAGATCTCAGCCTCCTAAGTAGCTAGGATTACAGGCATGAGCCACCAGCGCAAGGCTAAGACCCCTTTTTCTTAGTCTCTTTTCCAGATAAGAATTTGATTTCCTTTATCCCTGACAGATCATTATTATTTTTTTTTATTCTTCCCATGATTTGACTTGTTTCCCACTTTAAAAGTTGTTTCAAGCCGGGGGCCGGTGGCTCATGCCTGTAATCCTAGCTACTCAGGAGGCTGAGATCTGAGAATCATGGTTCAAAGCCAGCCTGGGCAGGAAAGTCCGTGAGACTCTTATCTCCAGTTAACCACGAGAAAACTGGAAGTGGCACTGTAGCTCCACTGGAAGAGCTCAGGGACAGTGCCTAGGCCCAGAGTTCAAACCCCACAACTGACCAAAAAAAAAAGTTGTTTCATGGAAAAAGAGTTTGAAAGCTTGGTAGGAACAGAGGCACTAGAATTAAAAAGGAACAATGAAATGAGGTTATCCAATCAAATCTTTTTATACTACAAAAATTTCTTATATAGTAACTGGCAGGTGTTTGCCCAGATTTGTATGTCAAAATACTAACAAATGGGGGCTGGGAAGGTGGCTCAGTGGTAGAGCGCTTGCCTTGCATGCCTGAGGCAAGGTGGCTCAGTGGTAGAGCGCTTGCCTTGCATGCCTGAGGCCTTGGGTTCGATTCCTCAGCATCACATAAGCAAAAAGAAAAAAGCCAGAAGTGGCGCTGTGGCTCAAGTGGTAGAGCGTTAGCCTTGAGCTGAAGAGCTGAGGGACAGTGCCCAGGCCCAGAGTTCAGGCCCCACGACTGGACCCAAAAAAAAAAAAAAAAAAAAAACTAACAAATGTGGGGAGTTCACTACTTCGAAGTATTATAATTCTGAAGAGCTGTTTTGAGTAGTCAGTTCAGGAAATGATGTTGATTGCTCACTGTACATCAGACATTATCTGCTTTTGAATGTGTCTGCTCTTCAGCCAGGGTTTGCTTAAAATCACAGCTTGCCACATGCCAGTCATGGTCTTCTGTCTTTTTAAATGGCTCATTTTAGTTGTAATCATTGAAGATTCAGGTGCTTTTGGGTTTCCAGCTAGGTGTTCTTTGCTGTGCTACATAGCTTTTTATCAGTTCTCACAGGGAGATAAGTTTCTCAGGACTAGCCACTCCCTTCACATACATAAAATAGCCCTTTGATTACTGATTTGTTTCAGTGGTTCCTTGATGTCAAGTAGGTGGTCTAGATAGGAGAGTTTACAGCATTCTGATATCAAAAAAAGTAATTCCCTACTTAATATCAATGGACCTGCTAATGTGTGACTTCAAGAATATGTTAATAAGAACAGTGTATTTATATTGCTTTGTGTTATATTTTCCCTCAGATTTTCAAGAAGTTTTTAATTGTAATGTCATGATTGTTGCGGCAACAAATCGGCCTGATGTGTTAGATGATGCCTTATTAAGACCTGGAAGATTAGATAAGATCATCTATATTCCCCCTCCAGACCAAAAGGTAATCACTATATCCACTCCCTGAGCTTTCTCAGTGCATCAGTCTGTGCTCCAAGGAGCTCCACAGACTCACACTACTTATCCGGGGCCCCTCAGAGGATCATAATCTTCATCTGCCCTTTCAGAGAAATATAAGCCTGAAAGAAAGGTAGTTAGTTGATTTCAGTTGATTTCAGACAGATTTAGTGCTGAGTCAATTCTACATTACTTTGTATTAACTCTACGTTAATCCTAAAGTGGTGAAAGGGACTTAAAAGGGCTTTGAAGATGATCTTGGTTTTCACCCTCATATTAAGAGAGGAGATCTGAGTGTGTCAAGATTCTGCAGTGTATCCAGAGAGTAAATCCTCTATTCTCAGCGTCCAGAGCAGCTGACAGGTCTAGGGAAAGACTTAGAGAAAACTTTTTTCTTCCTTTGGGCTTTACCAAGGCCTTAATCAAGTTTTTAATAGATTAAAGATAAATTAATTTATACTCTTATTGTGGCTGATAATATATATAATATAGTATATTTTACCTTTTTTTTTTTTTTTGGTGATAATGAGGTTGGAACTCAGAGCCTTGGGCTTGGTTGGCCATGCTGTACCACGTGAGCCACTCCTCCAGCCCCTGTGTTTGCTTCTTAAACTGTGGACACACCACTGCTTTTATCCAAAAGAGAGGTTTGTCTTGCAGAGATATGTCTACAGTTGAATAGTTTAAAACAAATGTTTTTCATGATGCTATTATTTTTTACCATTACCATGTAGGCTGTTGATGAATTAATCTTTCTGATCCTTTTTAACAAAAGTGATTTTTTAAAAAATTATTTATGGAGCTGGGAAGGTGGCTCAGTGGTCCAGTGCTTGCCTTGCATTCATGAGGCATTGGGTTCCATTCCTTAGCACCACGTAAGCAGAAAAAGCCAGAAGGGGCCCTGTGGCTCAAGTGGTAGAGCACTAGCCTTGGGCTGAAGAGCTGAGAGACAGTGCCCAGGCCCAGAATTCAGGCCCCACGACCAACAATAAAATAAATAAATGATTTTATATATTTATTTATGGCAGTACTAGGGATTGAATTTAGGTCCTTGTGGTTACTAGGCAGGTACTTTATCACTTGAGCCATGCTTCAGCCTCCACAAAAGTCGTTCTTTAATTGTTTGAATCTCAGATATATTTGTATTGTCTAAAATGTTTAACATATGATTGTACCTAACATAAATGTTATAAAATATATTATTTTTATTTTTATTGTAGAGTAGGCTTTCTATCTTAAAAATCTGTACAAAAGCCATGCCACTCGGGCCTGATATTTCCTTAGAAAACCTGGCAGCAGAGACCTGTTTCTTCTCGGGAGCTGATCTTAGAAACCTCTGCAGAGAAGTAAGTTAATTAGTGAAGTAATCTATGGTTCAAAACATGTGTTCATATATTTAGCTATTCATTCACACACAAGTATTTACAAAGGCTTACATGTGTCAAATGGAGTTTATTATAAAACAAGCATCAGGCCATTTCCCTTACACAGGCCAATCTAACTGTCCATTGATAATTAAAAATATCCAGCCAATGAAGTTTAGGGCAATGAAAGACCATGTAGGAGGAATATCAGTTCAGGCTGGGCTCAGAGAATGCTTTGAGGGAGGATATTTAAGCTAAAACCAGGAAGTTAGCCACCTGAAGGAGACAAGGGGACAGTTTAAATAAGAGAATAAAATACAGAGGATTGGTGTAAACATAAAACCTCGCATCGTGGCAAGAAACAAAGAATTAAACAGAAGGTCCTTGTAAGCTACTTGGAGATGTTTAAGTTTTACTTTGAGATCAGAAGAAATATACGGCTTCTCGTTTTGTAAACTCTTATTAAATATAGAGTTCAGAAAAGTGCACAGATTTAGGGTGAAGTTTATTACCATCTGCAAAAGAAGACACCCTCCCCTTTCTTCACTCTCCACACTGGAGACTAGTTTTGCCAGTTTTTGAACTGTATATATAAATGGGACTATACAGTGTATAGTAGTTTTGTATGTTTCTTTAAACTTAAGATTGAAGTTAATTGTGGCTTTAGGTGCAATTGGAGTTTATTTTCATTGCTTTATAATATTGTAGTATCTGAGTATTTTACATTCATTTATCTCGTCCTAACCTTTGGAACATTTGTTTTCTACTCTTTCAGTACTAAGAATTATGCTGCTCTGAATAGTTTTGTATATTCCTACTCATGTATGTGTGTGGTTTTACATGTTTCATACAAATATGTAACTACCAGGAGAGTTTCTGGGTGACAGAGTGTGTGTTTGACCTTTTCCTTTATGATCAATGCTGTCTAATTTCATTTTCTTAAGATCAAGATTTCTCTCATTAAAAATATACATGGACTGATAATGCAGCTTGCTTTTTTTCCCCATATAAGGCTAGATTTCTAATATGAGAAAAATTACAATCTACTGAGTAGAATTTTAATTACTGACATTTAGCTTATTATTTTTTTTTTTTTGGTCAGTCGTGAGGCTTGAACTTTGGGCTTGGGTGCTGTCCTTGTGCTCTTCAGCTCAAGGCGAGTGCTCTATGGCTTGAGCCACAGAGCTACTTCCGGTTTTCTTTTTTTTGGGGGGAGGGGGGGGCGGGTCTGGTCGTGGGGCCTGAACTCTGGGCCTGGGCACTGTCCCTCAGCTCTTCAGCTCAAGGCAAGCATTCTACAATTTGAGCCACAGCCCACTTCTGGTTTTCTAAGTGGTTTATTGGAGATGGGAGTCTCATGGACTTTGCTGCTTGGGCTGGCTTTAAACCGTGATCCTCAGATCTTAGCCTCCTGAGTAGCTAGGATTATAGGCGTGAGCCACCAGTGCCCAGCTAGCTCAGTGTTTTTAAGGACATGAGTATTGGAATTTTATGATGTGAAACTGAGGTTTTGCATTCAGAAAGTATTCTCATTTTTTTCTTGAATCTAGAAATGGAGTAAATTCATGCTTTCCTATCGTGTGTCTCTCACAGGCAGCCTTGCTGGCTCTGCAAGAAAATGGACTGGAAGCAACCACAGTGAAGCAAGAACACTTTCTAAAGTCGTTCAAGTCTGTCAAACCGTCCTTGAGTCAGGAGGACTTGACTTTATATGAAAACTTATTTAAGAAAGAAGGATTTTCTAACTTGGATGATAGTTAAAATTATATCTTATTTGCTTCTTCAAATTTAACATGTAAACTTCTATCATTTGCAACTTTTAGAGTTCATATGTAAACTTTCTGTAAATAAAAAAAGGAAAGAAACCTCTACCGGAGGAGCTGAGGCTCATCTTACTTGTGAAGGATATATTAAAATACTGGGATTGGGGCTGGGAAGGTGGCTCAGTGGTAGAGCGCTTGCCTTGCATCCCTAAGGCCCTGGGTTCGATTCCTCAGCACCACATAAGCAAAAAGAAAAAAGCCGGAAGTGGCACTGTGGCTCAAGTGGTAGAGCGCTAGCCTTGAGCTGAAGAGCTGAGGGACAGTGCCCAGGCCCAGAGTTCAGGCCCCACGACCGGACTCCCCCCCCCCCCCAAAAAAAAAATAATAATAAAATACTGGGATTTAGGAAGAAAGTGTGTATGCTATGTATGCATGTAGTATGTGTGAGGGGGTGGGTGTGTTAGTACTGGGTCTTGAACTGAACTCGGGTCATCATGTTCTTGCTTACCTTTTTGCTCATGGCTGACATTTTACCACCTGAACCTCACCTCTAGTGCAGCTTTTTTGCTGGTTAATTGAAGGTAGTATCTCATAGACTTTTGGCCGGCTTTAATTCTCTGTTCTTAGATCACAGCCTCCTCAGTAGCTAGAATTACAGACATGAGCCACTAGGGTCCTGCTATTTGTGTTGTTTTTATAAGGGTAACTACTTTTAATAGATTGATTTTGTTTGTAATAATTTCGCACTTAGAGAAAAGTTGCTGGTATCAGCTCAAAAATAGATAGTTCTGGGCCGGGCTCATGCCTGTAATCCTAGCTACTCAGGAGGTTGAGATCTGGGGATTGAGGTTCAAAGCCAGCCTGGGCAGGAAAGTCCGTGAGACTCTTATCTCCAATAAACCACCAGAAAACCAGAAGTGGCACTGTGGCTCAAGTGGTAGAGTGCTTGCCTTGAACTGAAGACAGAGCTCAGGGTCAGCATCCAAGCCCAGAGTTCAAGCCCTATGACAGACAAGAAATCAAAAACAAACATAGTTCTCCAGTCTTTTCTCGAGCTTAAAGTTGAGTATTGACCACTTGTTTTATGGACAATTGACTTCTGGATTTGTGTTTATCCATGGTTTTGTCATGATAGGTTTAGGTTATGTCAGCAGTGGAACACTCCTGAGTGGTCTGTGTCACAGCCAGAGGTAAGTGTTACCTGTACATTATTGATGATGTTAATTTTGATCACTCGTTTATGGTACTGTCTGGTTTGCCTATACAATCCTTTTGTAATTATAAATAATGCCTTTTTTTGGGTCAGTCGTGGGTCTTGAACTCTAGGCCTGGGTGCTGTCCCTCAACTCTTCAGCTCAAGGCTAGTGCTCTAACACTTGAGCCACAGCACCACTTCTAGTTTTCTGGTGGTTAATTGGAGATAAGAGTCTCACGGACTTTCCTGCCTGGGCTAGCTTTGAACTGTGATCCTCAGATCTCAGCCTCCTGAGTAGCTAAGATTATAGCTGTGAGCCACCAGTGCCTGGCTTAGTTATAAATAATTTCTAAGGGGTAGATTATATGTACATTATTATTTTCCCTATTATTGAATAATTAAGAATACTAGAAAATGGAGGGAAATGTGAAGAAAAACCTTTGGAATTTAATTTTCCAGTTCTTTTTGTATATGTAGGTGATTTTTTTTTTTTAACCCGAAGGAAATAATACCAGCTAACTTATACTTGTTTTTCTCACCAAACAATGTCTTGTTGAGCCATTCTTTACTTGAAAGGTATTGGGATGTACAGTGAACAAGACAGACATGACACTGACAGGCCAACTGGGAACACAGATCAGACAAAATTATTCAATGAATTAATGATAATGGTGAGATAATTAATGATTAATGATAATGGTGCTTGGGACGTACAGAGTATGACCACAGTGCTAGGAGTACGTAAAATCATACATGTCTAGCAGTTGTCAGAAAGTTTTCTGACTGGAAACCTGGATGTTGGGAATAATTAAGGGAAAGACTTGAAAAATTTGTACATATAGAATTTAGTCAGAATTTTGTCATTTAGTTAATTGACCATTTGAGTAACAGGAAAGCCTTAACGATTTACCAGCTTTCTGATTATCCGTGTTCCTTATTGGTTATTGGTCTGATATTACAAGGCAGCCATTAAACTTTGCTGTACTAGACCAGATTGAACTTTGTCTGAACACCTTGACTCAGACATCTAACTGTGGGCCTTTCCTTGAAAAAGTTTGTAAGTGGTCAAGTTGGAAATTTATTATTCACATTTGTTCAAAGCTGAGTTCATTTGAAAATGTCTTTTTATACCAGCACAACTATGTTTATTGCAGCATTATTTACCATAGCTAAGATATGGAACCAACCCAGATGTCCCTCAGTAGATGAATGGATCAAGAAAATGTGGTATATATACACGATGGAATTCTCTGCCTCCATCAGAAAGAATGACATTGCCCCATTTGTTAGGAAATGGAAAGACTTGGAACAAATTATATTAAGTGAAGTAAGCCAGGCCCAAAGAAACATAGGTCCCAGGGTTTCCCTTGTTTGCAATATCTAGCATATGTCTGAGACAAGCAGAAAAGGTCAGATAAGTTGATGTTAGTTGAAATGAACCCCAAGATAAGTATTCAAATGTTTTTTCTTCCATGCGATTGTTTCTAACATATTTATAAGATGATTTCTTTGTTGCCTTGTATGTCCCTCCCCCACAGTATAACCCCTGCTTTCACTGTATTTGATGTTGGTACAATTTGTGGAGGGGAAGGGAAAAAACAAATCATTTAAATAGGGAAACAGGTGGACCCATTGCAACAATGAGATGTACAAATTGTTATGTCAAAAATGAACTTTACAACTTGGGCGAGGGGTGGGGAGTGGGGGTGGGGGGGGGTGGGGGGGCGGGAGATGGGAAGGGATGGGAAGGGGAAACAAAGGAGGAGGCAACGATGCTTGATAAGAAATGTACTCATTATCTTGCCCATGTAATTGTAACCCCTTTGGTATTTTCACAATAAAAAATTTTTTTTAAATGTCTTTTAAAATTGTAATTATATTACAATGAAAATAGTGTAGTGTGGTATACTTCATAATTATGTAGTATAAACTCATCATTATATTTTAATTGTAATTCTGTCTTAATAGAATTTTAGAGTCTACCTGAAGACAAAGACCATTTTTCTCCTCACTGAAATGCCCAATAAATAGCAAAAGCCAATCAAGAATTTCTGGATTGAGTTGTAATCAGATTTGAGGACAGCTCTAGATAACTTCCCAAAATAATACTCTTTTCCTTTTTGAGAATTTTTTATTGTTACTATAAAGGTCATGTACAAAGGGGTTACAGTTACATAAGTCAGGTAAAGAGTAGATTTCTTTTGGACAGTGTCACCCCTCCCTCTCTCCCAGTTTTCCCTTCTCATCCCCACCCACAAGTAGTATAGTACATTTTCATCATAGTGTCTAATGAGTACCATTGTTGCGTTTGTTAACCCTTTACTCCTCCTCCATTTCTGTGTCGCCCTTTACACACCCAAAGATAGATAAATGAACAAATAAGTAGAAAAAACAAAAACAGCAACAAATAAAAAATCTCTTGTTTCCATTTCTTGGAGTTCATTTCAATGAATATTATTTTGTATGATCAGATGCACAGTCATTGCACCTTTGCATGCCTCTCCTAAGAGTATCTTCCTTTGTTCTCACTGTGTGAATGCCTAGAATCCTGTATAATTTATCATGTCCTAGTGTATTTTAGATCTAAGTTCCACATATGAGAGAAAACATGGCGTTTGTGTATCTGAGCTTGGCTTAACCTCACTTAACATGATTTGGCCAAACTAATTCTAACCCTTGAGCTATGAGAAAAAACATTAACACTTAATCTTTTCAGGGCTGGGGCCTGACTTCAGGACCTGGGCACTGTCCCTGAGCTTTTTTGTCTAAGGCTAGCCCTCTGCCACTTGAGTCACAGCTCTACTTCCGGCTTTTGGGTGGTTTGTTAGAGATAGGAATCTCATAGACTTTTCCTGCCTGATCTAGCTTCAGATCCCCACCCTCATGTCTTAACCTTCTAAGTAGCTAGGATCATAGATGTGAGCCATTGATGCCTGGCAACTTTGCATCTTTGAAAGCAACTTAGGATAAACTGAGCAGTGTGCCTCTCGCTATATACTGTTCAAACTGCTCTTTGTGCCACATCAACAGTCAACCTTATATAGAACACCCCCAGTACAGTCTACCTTAGTATGTAGAACAGAGCCCTCCCCCAAGGTTACTCCAATTTTTTACATCCATCTTAGCATGGGATAGTGGCAGCAACTCTTGCCTTGTTATCCTGCCCACACACTGTGTCATGCTAACCTATCTTACAGATTTAGGAAGACATCTTTAGAAAATACAAGTACATGTGAGAGTCAATACCCACAAGACGCCAGGACCAGACGGATGTGGGGAGTCATGGTTCACACACACATACCTGCCAGGATCATTATATTTTCGCCATCCACCTTACAACTCCATAGAAGCAGATTTAAATGAGAGAGTTGTTAGAACAGCTGCTGAGGGATTTAAATAAAGGCATCCTGCATGGAAGCCACATCAGTGAGACTGGAGTGTGTATCCCATGATAGCTTTTATATCGGATCCAGAGATGGGAGTACTACCTAGGGAAACCCTGTTCTGCAGAGCTCCTTAGGAACAAGCACTCAGAGTCAAGTGTGGAAACCCCAGGATAAACAAAAAGTGTGAAACCTTTCGGTGAACTTACCTGTGTCACATTGTTGGGGTCTTGGCAGAGTTGTCAACAGAATGTCACCAAAGAATTGATCACCTGTCTTTGGAACCAACCCATGCCTTGAATTAGAGCTACTTAATGGGCATATTTTGTAAACACTTAGAAGTAAGGGACTTGAACTCAGGGCCTGGGCACTATCCCTTAGCTTTTTTTGCTCGTTTTGGAGGATTGGTGGTTAATTGGAGATTAGAGTCTCAGAGACTTTCCTACCCCAGCTGGCTTGAACTCAGATCTCATCCTCCAGAGTAGCTAGGATTATGAGTGTAAGCCAACCAGCTCCAGGCAATATTTTGGAGGTGTTTTTTTTAATGTGACCATGTAAATTCTAATTTACCCTTCTGCACTTGGGATCTTCACAGGAGACTCAAACTCATGGTGAGAACAAACTTTGGTACACCTGTTCTTCATCGCTTCATCTTTTCCACGCTTCTCCCAGTTTTTCCTGCCCATCTCCACCCACACTGTATAGTTCATTTCTACCTAGTGTCTAGTGAGTCCCACTGCTGTATTTGTTCCTTTGCTCTGTGTGCGTGTGTGTGTGTGTGTGTGTGTGTGTGTGTTTGCCAGTCCTGGGGCTTGAACTCAGGGCCTGGGCACTGTCCCTGAGCTTCTTTTGCTCAAGGCTAGCACTCTACCACTCCAGCCACAGTGCCACTTCTGGCCTTTTCTGTGTATGCGGGTGGTGCTGAGGAATTGAGCCCAGGGCTCCATGCATGCTAGGCAAGTGCTCTACCACTAAGCCACCTTCCAAGTTCCTTTGTTCCCCCTTTGTCCCGCCTTTTTTTATGCACCCCCTCTACCCTCCTAAATACAAATAAACGACAAAAGGAAGAGACAACAAAAACAACAACCATCTCTTGTTTCCATTCCTTGCAGTTCATTTCACTATGGGACAGGATCAATTATACAAGTCTCCAGGATTGGTTTTCTTCCACTCAGACCCTGGTTATCCTCAAGGCTACCCTTCCCCCCTCCCCAGGTCCCTCCTCCCTCTCTCCCGAACCTCCCAGACCCCCTCCAGCCCTGGATGCTGGAGACAGTGCGGCCCAGCTGGCAAGTAAAGACCTCGGTCCGCAGCCGGCGGCGCTGCTCCCAGCGTCCTGCAGGGGGCGCCCACGTGCCGGGCTCGGCCCGGCCACTCCCCCGGCCTCCGCGTGGTTCGAAGCGGTTGCGGTCGGTATATAAGGCGGGGCACCGGTTGCACCTGGGCGTTGAGCATCTCCGGCGCCAGCCGCCCCAGGTGAGTCACCTGCCCGGCCTTTAGAGCTTGTTGAACCCGGCTTTGGTACCCACCGAGGCGGGTGCCCGTGGTGGATCCTGATCCTCATCTGGGCTTGTGGTTTGCTTTCCTCCTCCCAGTCTGGCATTCATTCATTCGACGCGGTGGGGAGTCATCATGGGTGTCTTCCAGATCCTGATGAAAAAGAAGGAGGTAAGTTTGGGTTTCCCAAGCCATGGAGGGGGAACATGTGTGCCTCTTGTGAAGTATGCATGTTGAAAAGTCCTGGTGGGTTTTTGAAGACTGAAAACGTGGTGTGGCGGTTTTGGGGGGGAGGTTTGCGGTTGAATCTAACGCACCTGACCCGTTATCCCGCAGCTCATTCCTTTGGCAGTCATCATAAGTGTGGCTGCGGGTGGAGCCTCGTCTTTTGCTGTGTATTCGCTGAGAAACAAAACCGACGTGATGTAAGTAGTCCTCGTGGAGGAAGGTAGTTGGATGGTGTTGATGGATCTTCAGTTGCTGAAAGGCATGGCGGTCCAGTTCTTAACCCCCCCACCCCCACCCCAATCCTCAGTGGATTGAATGGGGATTGAATGGTAGACTAGGAGTCAGGGCTAAAAAGTATTCTGACACCAGCCTATTACATGATATTCATGCCTTTGGTTTGTTCCTCTGTCTGAGTAAAACCCTTTCATTTATTGGCCCTCTCCCTTTTCTTCAAGTGAAGTAAAATCTGATTTTTTTAAAAAAAAAATAAACTTGTTTTGGAATGCAAAGTTTTTAAAATGATTTTAGGGGGTATATACATCATCAAATATAAAAAATTTTTGTTTAAAATTTTTTTCACTTAGTAGAAAGATCTTTGCAAGCGTGGTAGGGCATTTAATTGTCTATAATGAACTCTTAATCTTAACTTCAGGAAAAGCATGAAGAACATGAAAGAGGGAGATAGAAAACCAGCAGTAGTCTGGGGAGGGTGGGGGAGGATATTAAGTCTAACCACTAGCAGAAGGCCAAGACCCTGGAGTTACAATGAGATACCAGTCGAGAGTTGAAACTTGGCTCTGGGTCCTTCCCAGAAGCCTGGCATAAACTTACTAGTGCCTGTCCTTAGCCTAGCATTACCATCCCTATTGTATGCTGTTTGCATTCTCCAAGCTAGCCCAGTAAAGGGAAGAGTCCAGTCCTACAGAGAAGAATTGATATTTAATATTTGAACCAAACCATTGAACTCCCTTAATGGACTTTCCATTCATTTTAGTTACTAATGGTGGTCCCTAATTGTTCACTAATAAGTGAATACCTCAGTATGAAGACTTTCTCCAGCAACTTTTAAACTCTATACACTGTTAGTTTAAATGCACTTAACCTAAATTATCCTTGTATTTTTAGTATTGACCGGAAAAAAAATCCAGAACCTTGGGAAACTGTGGACCCTAGTGTACCTCAAAAGGTATTGATAATATTTTTTTTTTTTTTTTGCCAGTCCTGGTGCTTGAACTCAGGGCCTGAGCACTGTCCCTAAGCTTTTTTTTTTTTTGCTCAAGACTAGCACTCTATCACTTGAGCCACAGTACCACTTCCAGCTTTTTGTGTTTATGTGGTACTGAGAAATCAAACCCAGGGCTTCATGCATGCTAGGCAAGCCCTCTACCACTGGGCCACCTTCCCAGCCCCTCCATGAGCCTCTTAACTGCAGTTGACCAGCAAGAAGCCAAAAGTGGTAGAGCGCCAGCCTTGACAAAAGCTTAGCAAACTCCTCTGTGCTTCTCATTTATAATAACATTTTTAAAAATTAATTGAAAAACAAACAAGCAGGCCCTAAGCTCACGCCCTCATACACTCTCATCCTCCCGCCTCATCTTCCATCCCCCCCTCCCCCGCCCGGCCTCTGTGTCTCTCTTCCTTGATTTTGTGACTTAGAACATTTGGCCTGTATTGAGCAATTGCAAGGAGGAAATTCTGTTAAGAGGCTACTGCATGCCGGACCCTGTGCTAGGAACATTGTATATCCACTCACAAGGCGCAAAGACACTTTGGAATTTACAGGTCACATGCTACCTTGGCAGATTAAAAAAAAAAATCTGGATATGTTCATGAAAGTAGGACTGATGGGCTGGGATCTAGAGCTCAGTAAATGCTTGACTAGCAAGTGCAACATCCTGAGTTTGATTCCTATAACCAACAAAGAAAAGACACAAAAGTTAAACCTAAGCAAACAAGTGGAACTGACTGACATGTGTGGCCGTCCTCTGATAATACTAAAGGATTTGGGGAATGGAGCACTAGAACTCAGTCTAGGTGAGTATTTTGTGCATGCATTAGGAGGGGAAAGAGGTGATGTATGATTGAAACACTGGTGATGCTTTTACTAAAAGAAGTATAGGAAAATCCCAAAAGGGGATGTGAGGATGAAGGGCAGATGCTTCACCGTTTCTATTTCCTTTCTTACTTTTAAAGCTTATAACGATCAACCAACAATGGAAGCCTGTTGAAGAGCTGCAGAAGGTCAGAAGGGCAACCAGATGACCGGTCCTCTCTTCTTTCCTCCAAAGATTACTCTATGAATCTAGTGGAAACATTTCTGCACAAACTATATTGTGGAGACCAGTGTGCGGAAATGCTTCTGCTACATTTTTAGGGTTTGCCTACGTTTTTTGGGGGGGACTCTGGATAAAGGAATTAAAGGTAGTACCATAATAACTACATAGTCCAAAAGTTTCTGTTTATTGTTGTAAATCTGAATTTTATATAAAGAAAACCTACCTTTATGAATGTGCTCCTTGACATGTATAAAGATTTGTAAATTAGTAATAAAATTTCGCTTGTGTAAGATATCTCAACAGTTAACTATCTTTTTAAGTGGAGGACAAATTTTTTTAATATGGGATAAAAGACATTTTGAAGCATAAAACTTCATCTTCTAAATAATAGCCCGTGCAAATTCTGTATAAGTTTATTCTTCCAAGTTTACTTATCCCTCAGAAATTGCCTGAGCATCTACAGTAAAGCAGTGAGTGAAGACACATTTGGGAGAGGTGTGAATAAGAGAGATGGTAAGTACCCTCAGGAAAGTGAAGTGGAGATGGGTGTGAGCTTCCACGTAGATTGTCCTTGGAGGCAGTTGTTGAGGTTTTGGGGGTCAACAGGGATTCAGGATGTTGATGAGATCAGCCCTACTGATGCTACTGCAGACTATGGCTCTCCTGTGAGAACAGGGGGAAGAGCTTGGCCAGCATCCTGTGGAGTCTGGGCCATCCTTCATTCTGGCCCATGGTGACATAGAAACTAAAGGCATAATCATACCCTGTGTGGCCCTGGGCTCCTTTGACAAACCTTAAAAAGTGGGATCAAGCCAGTAACCATGGCTCCCATTTATTTATTATCCTAGCTACCATGGAGGCTAAGATCTGAGAACTGAGCTTGGAAGCCAGCCCATGCAGACAAATCCTCAAGACTCTTTATCTCCAAATAACCAGTACAAAGCTGGAAGCAGAAGTGTGGCTCAAATGGTACAAGTAGAAACTTGCTTTTTTCATAACTTCTTCTTAAAATTGAGACCGAATTCCATTTAAGCTGCATAATTCAATAGTTTTATTATATTCACAAAGCTGTGCAATCCTATCTGCCATCTAGTTCAAAAACATTTTCGCCTCCCCTCCTACAAAGAACCCTTTAACCAAAACTTTTCCTCACTCCTCTGCTTCCAGCCCAAAGCAAACACGAATGAACTTTTTCTCTAGGATTCATCTATTCTGGACATCTCATAAAAGTGGGATCTCTCTTCAAATAATGTTTTCAAGTGATAATTCATACAGTACCACAATATCAACATTTCATCCTTTTGTTTTTGTCGGTTGTAGGGCTGGAACGGAGGGCATGGGTGCTGTTCCAGAGCTATTTTGCTCGTCTAGTGCTGTCCTATTTTGAGTCACAGCGCCACGTAAGTTCTTCTGGTGGTTAATTGTAGATAAGAGAGCCTCACAGACTTTCCTTCCTTGACTGGCTTTGACCCGAGATCCTTAGATCTCAGCCTCCTGAGTAGCTAGGATTTTTTACAGGCGTGAGTGACTAGCACCCCTTTTTGTAAGGAAGAAGATTCCATTGTATAGATACAGCACCTATTGTTTATCTGTTTGTAAATTAATGGACACCTGATAGGTCTCTAGTTTGGGACAATGATGAGGAGTGACAGTATGAGTGGTCATGAACAGATTTTTGTGTGGTCATTTTTCTCAACTTCTCTTGATTATGTACTACCTCAGCTCATTAACTTCTTTGGAGTAGAATGGTAAATGGTTTCTTCACTTGTATGAATGTAATGGAAAGCTAAAAGAAGGGCAATAAAAGATAACTGGCACTTGCCAGAGACTTGGCAATTGTGAAAGGATTAGAGTGAGACCATTTCTCCCAACCTTTGTTGCTTCCTTATTACCTCACATTTTTCCCAGAGGAAAATCTCTGGCAGTTGAGTTGCTGGGATTACCTGTAGCAACTGGGAAGCACATTTTTATTTGCTTAAACTTTTAAGCCGAATGTAATGTCATGTAGGTAATTAGCAACGAACAGTTTCATGCTGGTTGGCCAATTTAGGAGAGAGGTCTGTGAAATGATTTTGAAGGACGACTGTGATTTCACCCTTGAAATACAAAGCTGACGGGCAAGCCGTGGCGAGGGTGTGAACTATGTTGCCGTTGCTAGTAGAAAAGTACTAGCTAGCAAGTTTAGGAGGAAGAGAGTTCCAAGAGCAAGGCTTACACTGCAGGTGTAGGAAAGGGGGTGACCAATTTCCAGCCATTGTTAAGGAGCCACACCCTAGAACAAAAGGTGGGCTTGCAACAAGAAGTCCCAACACATGTATTCGGTCATAGTTTTAAGTAACCAGGAAAACTTCATGTAAACACCAAAGATCCAGGCAAAGCTATTGTTTTTTGTTGATGGTGGTGATAGGGCTTGAATTCAGGGTCTGGGCTCTGTTCCCTGAGCTTGTGTGCTAAAGGTTGGAACTTTCTCCTTTGAACTACAGCTTAATTTCTGGTTTTAGGGTGGTTATTTTGGATTTAAGAATCTCACAGGTGGCTCAGTGGTAGAGTGCTTGCCTTGCATACATGAGGTCCGTCCTGGGTTCTATTCCTCAGTAAGCAGAAAAACCCAGAAGTGGCACTGTGGCTCAAGTGGTAGAGTGCAAGCTGAAGAGCTGAGGGACAGTGCCCAGGCCCAGAGTTCATGCCCTATGACAGACAAAAAAAAAATCAGGCTTTCCTAGCCAGGCTGGCTTTGAACCTCGATCCTCAGATGTCAGCCTATTGAGCAGCTAGGATTACAGGTACGAGCCACCAGTGCTCAGTGCTATCTGTTCTTCTATTCAGGTTCATGAAGCATGGATAATTGTTTACAAAGATATCAGACAAAAGGGGAAGGTATGAGCTAATGCTCACAGACTGAGGGGAAAACCCATCAAGTTCTATCAGTCTGTCAGTATTATTCTTGACCTGTCTGTGCAGCATTCTTTCCTCCTAGGTATGGGGCAAGCTGCTTTCTGGAATGAGGATATCTTTTTGCTCTCATGCTCTGCTTGTGTGTGTGTGTGTGTGTGTGTGTGTGTGTGTGTGTGGTACTGGGCACTGAACCCAGGGCCTGGCACTGACTAGAAAGCACTTTACCAATCGAGCCATGACCCAGCCCTTTAATTTGTATTTTGCTTTTGAAATAGGATCTTGCTAACTTTGCCCAGGCTGGGCTTAAACTCATAATCTTGCTACCTTCACTTCCTGAGTAACTAGGGATTGTGGGTGTATAACACCATGCCCTCCTCTGGAATGGGGATCTTCTGATCTAGGTAGGTCAGAGAATTTCTTTATGGCCAGCTCTCATGCAGAAAGGTGGAGGAAAGTTCAAGATAATATTTTAGGGTTGGGTTTTTTTAAAAAATAGGTAGCTTTGGTAGAAGTGGCTCTGTTTTCTATAGCCTGCCTTATGGGGGAAGAAGAAGGAGAAGGAGGAGGAGGAGAAGAAGGAGAAGAAAGAATTTTAGTTTTTATGGCTTTCCTCTGGGGAAATGAAGAGTAAGATACAGAAAGCTGGAGAAAGTGAAAGAGAAAATTTGCCTCCAGAGGCTTACCTTTAGGGTACCAACCCTCTGAGCCCCAACAATGATGCCAGAAAATTTGATTTTTAAAATTTGAATTTCAAAATTCCTCCAATGTTTTAAAATTTCAAGTTCTGCCAAGAAATTGAAAAGTCAGCACAAAGAGTACTTACGCTTTTTTAGCAATGGACATTCTGCCACATTCCCTGTGTCTCTATGTAAATTTTGTTCATTTATAAGTGAATTCTTTGAAACTAAATTACAATCCTAAAGCTTTTCTCTTGAAAACTTAAGGATGTATTCACTACTTGAGGGACAGGACCTTCTAACTGCCTATGGTGCCACCACCATATTCCTAAGAAAATCAACATTAACTTAATAGTATCACCTGTTACATAAACCATTCTAATTCTCTCAAGATTATTATGTATACATGTACGTGTATACATGTATGTCTATTTGTATAGATATCTGTATGTATATGTATGTATGCTTATGATCTTCCTGCCTCAGCCTCTCACATTCTGCTGGGATTACAGGTATGTACCATCAGGTCCAACACTAGCTACAATTTTTATTTTGGGACTTGAACTAACTACATTTTTTTTTTTTTTTGTCAGTCATGGGGCTTGAACTCTGGGCCTGGGTACTGTCCCTCAGCTCTTTAGCTCAAGGTGAGCGCTCTACCACTTGAGCTACTTCTGGTTTTCTAGTGGTTTACTGGAGATAGGAGTCTCACGGTCTTTCCTGCCTGGGCTGGCTTTGAACCTCGATCCTCAAATTTCAGCCTCCTGAGTAACTAGGATTACAGGCATGAGCCACCAGCGCCCAACTAACTAGCTACAATTTTAAGAACAGAATTCAATCAAGTTTCACTTATTGAAATTGGTTGTTAGGGTTGTACCGAGCCTTTGTAGAACTCCAGTGCACAGGCGACTAGAATGATCCAGGTAAGATTCATTCACATGTGGACTTTTATAAAAATCTGACCTATGATTTAAATGTAATTTAAATATTTGAGAAGTCATACATTATTTAGTGCTCACTCTGTATTAGACGTTGTGCGGGCCTCAGGGTCTGACATTCTAGGAAAAGGAGACACTCCTGTGAGCAGATCCAAACAGGACAATGGAAGCAAGGACAGACAGCACCAAGCAAAGTGTTCCAAAGAAGGCAGATCACAAAAGATTCAACAGACTCATTTCTTGATGCGTGGCCATTAGAAACATGGCGACTGCAACAGAGTCATATCTTTACTGAGGCAGAGAGCCCTAAAACAGCACAATGTCTGTTTTGGAACTTTAGGGGAGTTTACTACGTGGGCATTTTGCTATTGAAGTGTGAAGTAGGAGAGTGGGCTGAGGTAGCACGTGTGCTATTTTTCTGATACTACAAAGGAGCCCCGAGCAGGGTTTTCAACTGAAGGAGAGTTTCCTCTTCCTAACGGAGACTTGTCTATAATAGCAAGCGCAGGTAGTGGATGGATGCTGACAGGGACTCTTGGTTGGACACAGAGACCAGTGGCTGACCATGATCCAGTGGGCAGGCGGTGGATAGCCAGGACAAACGCCCGCAGTGGCAGAGGGCACGAGAGAACAGAGTGAGTGAGAAAAAGTGAAGACCTCAAGGCAGGAGATTCTCACCTGGGTAGTGAAGATAGGAAGACAAGGTGGGGGGTGGGGTGGGGGGGGGGAAGAATGGGAGAAGACAATGCATGAGGTCCAGGAGCCTTCTAGAATGCTCCACATGGCAGGTTAAGAGCAATAAGACCAGGGCATGGAAGACAAGAAGACAACACCTGTGGAGGACTTTCAGAGTGCAATGAAGACGGAACCCAGAGCAACACGGTCCTGGAGGATGCAAGCAAAGAGAATCCTAGGGACCGTGGAGAAAGGGTTAGGGGAGAAGGAGAACCAGACGAGATTCAGGGGTGCCCAGAGAAGAGGAACCATTCTTCTCTTTGGGGAAGACCGGTCCTGTGTTGTATTAAACCAAAGCCCAGAAACCTTTCAGCTTTATGGCCAGGAGCATAAGCAAACATCTATCATTCTTTTTGCATACAAATAAAATGTGAAGTGAGCTTTCTCAGTAACACCAAGAACTGAAGGGAGAGCTGATTAAATACGCAGTCATGTTTTGTTTTTGCTGAAGAAACCCACTCCTATTTGCGCTGAGACTTGGTGGTAGAAGGTACTCTGGGCTGTGAAGTTGGAGCCCTGCCACCTATGACCCTACTTTATAGAAACCCCAGACTCTCCCTATCCATAAAACTGAGTTAATAGTACCTGGCAGGCTCTAAAGACTCTAAAATAGCTGGAAAGTACCGAACATGGTGCTTAATTTATGTGCTAGTTGTTCAACAAGTGCTTTTTTTTTTAAAGAAATGTTTTAAAGGCTGAGAAGGTGGCTCAGTGGTAGATCGCTTGCCTTGCGTGCCTGAGGCCCTAGGTTTGATTCCTCCAGCACCACATAAGCAAAAAGAAAAAAGCCGGAAGTGGCGCTGTGGCTCAAGTGGTAGAGCACTAGCCTTGAGCTGAAGAGCTGAGGGACAGCGCCCAGGCCCAGAGTTCAGGTCCCACGACCGGACCCTCTCCCCCCCAAAAAAAAATGTTTTAAGAATGATGAGTAGTATTAGAAATGGCTAGCAATAT